CAGAATAAGGTTTTATATATATATAAAACAGAGATCACTCAACAATTTACTTAGACGAGGGCTAACAATTGGATATGTTTGTACTGCGCTCGTAGAACAACAGTCTCCTAGTACCAACATTATCAGTACTTTCTATTGTTACAGGAAAATTTCGAGATTTCGCCATTGAACGAAGTTTGATTTTATTTGTTCCATCTCTTTGTAGTTTCGACACTACTGACGAAATTTTGGCATGCTTGTGTAAACTCAGAGAAACGTTGTCGGTAAACATAAGTAAAGCACGTAATATGTAACCTGAAAACATGGGCGAACCCAATTGAATGGACAAGATACAACAAGAAAATAACTTCAGAGATTTTACCGTAGATAAATCAACATGTTTACTTTTGACGCAGAATCAAATCATGAACATTTAATTTTCAGAGGCCAGCAAGTTAAAGAAAAACAAACCTATAATAAACCTTAACACTTTGACTCGCACCTATAATGCATTCAACTAATTTGTGCCGTATTTCTAATTTTACCCTAAATCAGTTCAAAAACCAAATTTGTTTAAATGGAAAAAAGTACCTTTTTATTTCTATCTGTATTTGAAATATATGAACGCTTTTCTTTAGTTTGTTCGTGTATTTTCAACGCTGAGCCAAAAATAGACCAGAAAATGATAAATTTTAAGATAAATCTAACTCCTAAGTACAAAACTTATCGTCGAAATATATCCTTTTACATTTGCTGTCGTGTCTCTCTCGGGGATAATTTATGAGAAAGCTAAGTCAAACATAAATTATCCATACGTTCGTTTTTCATCCAAGCTGGTTCTGAAACGTATTCAGTCATTACGTCACGTACCTCTCCAATAAAATGATAAAGAATCTCATTTACAAACACAGTTCCCAAGAAAATATCACTGGAAAAAAAAAAGTGTTTGTAAAGAGGATAAGAATGTCGTTCATTAAAACAACGTGTAGAATCGAAAGATAAACATATCTATTTACAATGTTTTATACTTTTATTTCCACAAACTTAATAGTAGATGGCAAAAGAAGGCAGGATTTACAACAGGTTTGAGCTTTGGTAGATGGAATTTTTAGTAATGACAGTATACAAGCAACAAATATTTTATACACCCAACCCATTTATGATTTTATACAATTGACAACAAAACGCTGTAATTGGTAAATAATACAATTATTGTTTAGTACATAAAAACTTAATACACATCAACGAAACTACTTAAAACTATTACTACCTAACATCACGAGAGACTGTTAAAACTATTATGATCTGACATCTCGCTACATCAGAACGAAACTACACAACATTCAAATTCGAGTTTAAATTATTAGTTTTATGTTGATTTTAACACGTTTGTTTTGATTGAAACTATATTCACTGGTAACGGTATACGCTAAATTTCTTCCTCTGTCTTGTCTGGCTGAAACAGGCGTAGATAGTTCTAGAAACATTTTTCTTGAAATTATAATTATTTATATACTGAACTAACGGAGACCCGCAAAACATTTGCGGTCAAATTAATATCTTTATTGCAAAACCACTTCTTTGAACACAGGATTTCTAGAATAATACAAAATAATTCTAATCACAGATACCGAAATCTACAAGTCCACTTGTCTTAGGCCTAACATTAGTTAAGCCTTTATTAAATCCTGCCTATATTCGATAAAGAGATAACACTGTAACTTGCATTTTTTTTTTGCTTTAGTTTAGTTAGGGATAAACTTTGCCGTACTATCAATAAATAAACTTATAACGTTAGACCTTTTTAAAAATTTTGATAAGCTTTTAATATGTTGTTGTACAAAATGTCTTCTAAAGTAGATTTACTCCCGCATTTTGTTTACGTCCGTTAAAATAAATGTGGGAGCATTTCCAGGACAGACAAAAACTGAGTATTATTATAACAGATAGATTATTTTTGTAATTAACTCAAGTTATCTACCGCTTATCTTTACCCAGCACGACACAATAAATGAATAACAATATTTAAACACCTTACATTGTTTAAAGGTTTTCAACATACCTATATTTGTTTTGCAGAGTCGTATATTTTAATTGCGTCTTTATCATAATGAAACTAATTTAAATTAATCAACATCTTACAGTAAAAAAAGTACACGATAATTTTAAAAAACGAAACCCAATTTACTCCGTGAAAAAAAAACTTTCAATAAGCTCCAATAACCATAAATAATTTAACCATTAAATCAATAAAAAACAACCACAGAAATATTTCTCGTTTTCTCTGTTTTCGTTAAAGACTCCATATGAATTAAAGTTTACCAAAACTAAGCAAGCCTCAACAACGTAAGCTGCACTAACTAAAACAGATAATAATGTTTTAAAAATGTAAAATTCGGCACAAAAAAGAATATATTTGAAAGACTGTCCTACTTACAATTAAAATAAAATAGAGATAACACGTGAGCTGTAGGGTTGTAAAAGAAGTAAATCCACGTCGTTAAATATTACGACAACGATACATTGAGTGAACTGTTAACATACGAAGTTCAAATGAGCGTGTGGCCAATGACAGGTTTAACACCGGTTGTTACTTATACATTGCCACGTTCACCATAAGCAGACGCTTAGACATATGTAGTAATTCACAACAAGTTGTTGTGGAGCAACAACATAAAGTTCTCATAATGAGTACAGGAGTCTACAACACTGCTGAAAAACTATTAGGCTGGTATTTAAAAAATATATTAGTATTACTAAGAAGTAACTGATAACTTAAGGCCTATTGAGATTGATAGAAGTTGGATAGTTTCTGCTTAGTTTAAAAATAAATATAAAATTACTATATTGTTATGTATAATTAATTTAAAATAAAATCAGAGGCATCACACCGCGTTGATAAATACAAGGTGTAAATGTTTAAATTTGATGCGAAATAAAAAACAATAATAAACTGATTATACCCCCAATAAACAACAAGATATGGGGATGAGTAGTAAAGTCTGAGAAAAGAGACACTGTATTAAGAGCATGACTCGGTGCATGTTGTCATTGTTGCTGTTGTACACGTTCAAAAAACAATCAACCAAGAAAAAGAAAAAAAAAACACGAAGAAACTGTCGGTACTATCCTCCTAGCGGTGTTGAGTGCATACTTTTTGTACTGCAATATGCGTCATTGACCAAGCAATGAATAAAAACAAAAAAGCCGGAGGGCAGTTCTTTTGTCTCTAATTTGTGAAAGAAAATAAAAGCTATTTCTATCAGTTTTGAATTTCTGTAAATAATCTATACGTATAAAAAAAACATTTACAAACTGTGTTGGATAAAAAGTCAGATATGTCACAAAAAATGCGCATGCGCCATTCGCTCGTTTTCACACCAGGATACAGAAATATCAGGACATGCGGTATTTTGGTAAACGACAAAGGGGTCCGCCATAGATTAAAAAAAACACCTAACAAAGTTAATATACGTGCCTTTTATGAATTATCGTTTCACTTATTTAATTCTTGTATATTTTTACTAGGTAATAAATATCCCAAATGCATTTCACGTTGATGAATTTCCAATATTTTTCAATTGTATCATTTTTGTATTCTTCAAGTCAAAAGAACGTTGTCATCGTATTTCATTAAAACACTTCTGAAACTTAAAAACGGATAAAAATACTACAGAAAACATCATATAACGTGGATAATGAGAGCACAAAGAATTAAAATATATCAAAATTTGGGTGAACCAAACTCCCTCATCTTACCCTACTTTCCAACACTTTCTTACCAAGAAACTTTTTATCTTAAAAAATATTTTAATGTACGATATCGACAGTCTTTCACCACACCAGATTTAACTGTCGTATTAACCTACATACAAGTGCTGATTTTCTCAAATTATAATCAGATTTGTGCAAATTAAAAACAAAATGGCCCTTTTCCCCTTACCATATGGCAACAATTACCACACTTGTGCTTTTAATTAAGGCTAAATGAACATATATCAACCCAGACCGTGAAAAAAAAAAGTTAGGATATTTTTTTTATTTTTTTTTTATATAAAGCAATTCTTTTAAATATTAAATAAATGGCACAGGCTTTTTACAGACGTAGAAACAGAAAAAAACAAACACACAAGAAACCGACCAGATAGTTTTAAGAGTCTATAATAAAGTCACCATAAGCATAGGTAACATTCAGCTACAAACAAATTAAACCGAGTATAGAAATACGTAATATTATTAGCTATTTTATAACAATGTTTGTTTAAATGGAAACGCATCCGCCATGTTTTTTGGTTGTTGTTGTTGTTGTTTGTTTCCCGTGTTTTAGGATTTATTTACAATAAGGGAAGTTTTAACGAAAAGAAAGAGGACGCATTACATATAACTCCAAGTTAAGAACAACAATGAACCTGTTAGTCTATCTAGGCCGTCCCATCCACTAAATTAAACTTTAAAATGAAAATAAAGCACTCAAAACCAGCCCTTATCATTCCAATATTTATAAAGTCTTTCCTTAAATTAACTGCTTCCAACACATCTGGAAGCAACCAATTCCTACGACCATAACCCTGCTCGAAAAGTTAAACCGTCTTAGCTGAAGCTAAAATGTATATTTGTGTCCCCCTAGTCCTACCATTCTCACCATTAAATATGAACAAAAAAAAGATGATGCATCAACACCATCAATTCTCTTAACAATCCTAAACACCTCAATCAAATCTCTTCCAACTCATCATTTCAGAGATCTTAACCTGTCCTCGTATAATAACCTTTCAATCCCAGGTAGTAGCCCTATTCTGAACACGAAGATGTAGGGTTTAACACAGATGACAATAAGCCTACATAGTTTTGTTGTTGTAGTTTGTTTTTTCACCGCATAAGCCTGTATAGCAGTAGTTTTACATTTATAATATTCTAAGCCTAACCATCATTGCAAATACACATATTTTCCTTAATTTAATTATATAACTTATTTCGTAAAAGAAAAAAAAGTAAGCGAAAAAGTATAAAATAACACTCACCTCAGTTCAACATAAAACGCACTGCCAGTGCCAATATGGCCGGCAGAAAGAGCTTTTACGTTGCTCATTGTTACTGGCGTTAGCTAAAACAAACCACACACATAAACTGACAGTGATACAGCCTTCAACTTTCAACAGCCAGGACACTGTCTGTCTTTTTTTTTTTAAATCTATATTTACAAGAAATATTATGACGGAACAGTTTCCTTTGCTTTATTTCATTATCTCTACGCTTTGATCTCACTGTATTAATGGTAATATTACGATCATTTTTTTCCTGACACACATACTGGCCTAAGGCGTACCATATATCTCCATCTTCGTTATTTATAAGTAAACGGAATGCTTGGCAAAATCACTGAACGCTAAAAAAATCCACAAAGAAAGGAAGCCTTTTCGTAACGATTTCACCAGGAATTAAATATCTTCTACAAAAGCTGCTAAATTCATAACTTTCCACGATTTTTACGAGTCCGTTCGTGATATGATGATGGTAGAGAAATAAAAATAACAAGTTTTTTTTCTTTTAACCTTCAAAAATAAAGTGAGAAAAACTCAGAGCTTTCTGACGTACCACTCGAGTTAGGCTTAAGCCTTTCGATTACGCAAGGAGAATCAACGAAGGCGACAGAGTGGCGGAAAGAAAGAACGGCTGAAGACTCCGCTTCAGGCGGCTACTACACATATACACATTCATGCATGCAGCGCGTGAGTCAATGAACTAACCCTCATTACAGAAGGGCAGAACGCGGCGAAGCAGACACATGACAAACAGGCAGGTTTGGACGAGTCCAGGTTGATTGAAGGAGGGACAAACAGAATGCTGGAGGACGCGAAGAACAGCAAATCCTGAAGGTCATGGATAGAGGAAACCTCACCGTGCGTCACCCACTCAGGCAGCTGACAACGTGAACACCATACCGAGTGAGTTACTTATGATGCACGAGAGAAAGGGCGTGCTGTTAATAGCAGTTTGTACAAGTAATTTTCTTTTACTGTAGAGACAGTTCATTACGTGTAACCAAGGAGAGGGGGGAGGAGGCTCGAAGCACACTCGATACTATCTGTGGTTACATTGAAATACAAAAGATAAACAAAAAAAAAGAAACTTTGTAGCAAAGTGCAAAAAAAATGGATGTCGATGGAGAGAGGTAACTATGGGAGCTGTATATAATCCTGAACCCTTGTCATTCTTTATCTAAACTTCCTTTCCCGTACACAGCATTTAGTCTAAATATATTCATGTTTCTTGAAATGAAATAAGAAATAACATATCAGCCACAGACATACACTATTTCGAAAACCTGGCGTTTCGTTTACTTAATAGCACGTTATGATATATAACCTGAATATACAGAACCGGTCAGATAACCCACGATCTAGGGTTAAGTTATTGTAGTCAACTGATGTATCAATACACTCTAACCTTCAGAAAATAATAACGTAAAAAAAAAATATTTATTTAATTAGCTATAAATCCAACTCACACGCCATGTGCAAAGCTCTACCGCAGGGATCGAACCCTGATTTTTAGGCTTACGTACGAGCTTAAGTGCAAAACTGCACAAAATGCTATATTCTGTGCTCTCTACCGCTAAGATCGAACCCCGATTTTTTGAGTTTTACAAGTCCTCAAGCTTACCGCTGAGCCATCGAAGTACACGTGAGAAACTTAGTCCTTCCGCACAATCTCGGTTTCTACAGTTATTGTAGTTCTTATGAAATTCGCTTTCACACATCCACCATTTAAAGCCACCAATTTGCAACAGACTGCTACTCTAAATGACCAGCTTCGTAATGATGAACCGAGAAGGTGTTATTGGCATTAAGTTATAACAGTTATTTTTCCTCTGTCGTAGCCCAATACAATACAAATTTCGAAATCCTTCACTTACTTTGTATAATGTAGTTCCAAACCATTATCTGACAAATATTGTGTGTGTGCGCGCGCGCTTATATAACTGTCGAGCCGCTGTACCTATTGTCACTAAACCTTGCATGTACCAATAGGACCCCCCACCCAGGAGAGTGACACAGGGGGATCGGACCTCCCCCCTAGGCCTTTACGTCTTCTTCGTTTGTTGAACGGGTACGTCAACTAGTTCTAAATTGTTTCTGAATTTTCTGACATGGAGCATCCTTCCGTTTGCCGTTAGAAAAAAAATTTACGTCTCTAAGCCACAAAGAATACATAAACACACAAGAACTTTGTTAAAAACAGAAGAACGAAAAAAAACTAGAAAACACACACTGCACGCGGGTCTGTAAATATGTTTTCAGAAAAGAGAACAAGAAATAAAGAGAGAGACACACACACACACATATAGAGAATGGGTTAAAAAAGCATGGAGGGCAGCTGGGGTAGGGTTTATACCCGGTGGTTGAAAGGCTGGTTCTGCCCTGGTGGGCTGTCATTCAGGCGTGAATACACTCTGATATTGCCAACCGGTTGAGTTCAATGATACGGCAGGCTGCATTCCGTTGCCCTAGGCAACGACGCACCCCTTTTAACTGTCCCACAAGAGTTTCGATTGGAAAATGTATCTCTGAATACCTAGCCTATCTATCTATCTATCCATCCATCCATCAGATGGACGAAATATACGAACGAATTAAAAGCTAATGATTATTGCGAACAAAACAGCATGTGGAGAGTGGATAAATGTCTCGTGACAAGAAAGATCTTCTTCCGATTGTCAACTGTTTATTTAAATGATGGGGATAGTTAAACCAGGTTTTATGACAAGTATATTGGATCACGTGCTGCGGATAATAGCAAAGTTCCTCAAGAATCAAACTCTTTGATCAACATTTTTCTCCGAAAGTGGGATGCGGTCGACTATTTTACACTATTACTTGTCCTTATCTTTTTTTTTTCTTTTTTTTTTTACCATGGTGCGGGCGTGGCCTAGCGATTAGCGTATCCGGTAGGTGAATCCGAGAATTCATGGTTGGCGTCCCGTTGCCGAAAAAAACCCGCGCTTCCCACTCTAGGGCCGTGGGTGCTCTATAAGAGAAGCGGTCATCCATCAGACACGAGAAGTCCAAAAGATGGCAGATGACTGCTGTTGACTAGCTGCCTTCCCTCTAGTCTCTATATACAAAATTAGGTACGGTTATGCTCAAATAACTCTCGCGAAGTTTTGTTAGAAATTCTGAAACAAAACTTGTTGTCTGAAGGAACTTTATAATAAACCTAACCTCAAATATTTAAACGTTGCATTTATTAACCACAAATAAAAGATGTTACAATGTGACCTTATACTATATTTTCGTGTTGACAACCTCAAATATTACGTGAGGTTTGTCCTGGTCTACGCATGTGTCGAGTTGTTTCGTGTGAATGAGACAGCGATTATATAAATATGCATGATTCTCAAACAGTAGAAATATACGTCTGTCCGTTACCAAATTGGTAGATTACCATAAATGAAATACGCAGACTAAATACGTGAACTATCTATAACTACATACTCAAGTGTTGTTGTTTTTTTTCATATTGTATATACAAAAAAAAAATACGACAAGCGACTTACAAAATAACCACAAGCGTTCCTCAAATTCAATTTGTATACTTTAAATGAATCGATTGAGGAGAGGATCTTAAGGTACAGGTACAGACGATACGAACGTTATTATCATTTTTAAACAAATGGCGGCTCAGAACGAGCGGTGCGTAGCTAAAGAACACGAGCTACAGTATTGATCGGGAATCTGGGTCGTCACGTGACAACTTGAGGCGGAAGTAAACTAGCCTACATTGAGTCTGCGTTTGCTTGTCCAGGCAGATTAATCTATCTATATATTATTTATTTATTTGTTAGTACGTATACAAGTCACGAATGTCTTAGGTTGTATGGTAGCCATAAAAACAACGAAAGACTGTCGTCATTCTTCTATTTTCTTTTGTTTTTTTAAGTTTATGCAAGGAACTGGAATAATGTGTACTTAGTGACGTTGTTTTTATTTATTTGTCAGAGGACAGTCACATACGCCTTCCTGAACAGAGATAATATTTGAAAATATCCTGTATCGGTCTGTCCTTGCTTCGTGATGTGCCTGTGAACGCATGCGCGTTAAATTCAATTTTCCACACTACGCGTATCACTTTGAGCTACCGCATATAGCCAATTCCTTATATGGCAAATTGCATTTCGTCAAGTATTATTTCACATTTTCTGACTGTTAGTTTGAGACACGCGCTTGCGATCAGATGCCCCATTTCGACCACTCTTATAATGTCACAGTTTTGTCCTGAAACCACGTTATTAGTATACTAATATGAAATAGGCCACGTGTACAAACACTTATTTTTTTGTGATTTTACGAAAGTACTGGAACCTAATTATTTACTTGTTTAGGTACCATTAACTACACGAGGTCCACTTACTGCATCGTATTGAGTTATTTTATACGCTTGTGACTAAGAAAAAAAAGGGGGGGATGAAATTATCCGTAAAATACCTAACGGACTTGAGCAATAACTAGTGAAATTAACTGTTTCTTTTTGTTGTTGTTTTTTTAACTTTGTTTGTAGTTGACCCATGCTTTATTATTACAAGCTCTGAGATCTATAAAACAATCTAACACATAAACTGGATGGCGTACCAATAGGGTGCCGTCGGTACAGTTCCCCCATTCCAACAGGATACGTTGAATTCCGTTTCGTTGTTTAACTACACTAAACCTGTGCATTATTTCTCCTCATCAATGGCAGCTCAGTGTGCTGAAATGAAAATATTAACTTACCTTATTTTCAATAACTCTTTAAAATGGAATTCACACAATTCCTCCGTCTAACATTTTCATCACAAATTCATGAATAACAAACATATACATGGCTAATGATAAGAACTCAGACGAGGGCTATGGGATGACTTAACTACCACTCACGTGACCTAAAGAGGGCATCCACTCACGTGACCTACAGAGGGCAACGACCAAGTCCAGATTAACGGGGTAAAAGTACCAACTCACCTCATCACCCCAAAAAAAGATAAGCAGCGCTAATGAAACAACATTCGTGCTGGGTGTTAACTTCACTTTAAGCATCAACTAAAAAACATTCGTGCTGGGTGTTAACTTCACTTTAAGCATCACTAAAAAACATTCGTGCTGGGTGTTAACTTCACTTTAAGCATCACTAAAAAACATTCGTGCTGGGTGTTAACTTCACTTTAAGCATCACTAAAAAAACATTCGTGCTTGGTGTTAACTTCACTTTAAGCATCACTGAAATAAACATTCGTGCTAGGTGTTAACTTCACTTTAAGCAGCATTAAAAAACATTCGTGCTGGGTGTTAACTTCACTTTAAACATCAGTTAAAAAAAAACATTCGTGCTGGGTGTTAACTTCACTTTAAACATCAGTAAAAAAAACATTCGTGTTGTGTGTTAACTTCACTTTAAGCATCACTGAAAAAAACATTCGTGCTGGATGTTAACTTCACTTTAATATGGTGACACGTATACTAATGACTTTGTTGTTGTTGTTCACACGAACACTTTTTTAATTAAAAAAAGATACTTGTCACAACAAATACAGTAACAAAAAGTACGTAGTCATTTCAGAGAGTGCAAGTCAAGAATACCAACAGGTCCGATGTTGGTAGTAGTGTTATGTTTAAGCTACGAACCTCCTTAGTCAACAATTTCGTTTCCAGAATTTGCTTTCATTCTTTTCAACATCTTTACTCTTTTTAACTCTTTCATTGCCGCGTTTTAAAACAAATATACAACTCTCCCATGGCCAGGTTTATTTCCAGATACACTATAAAAAAGGCACACGTTTTAATGTTTCTTTACTTATCTGTAATTTGAAACTTTGAGAAGTTTCAAGGGGAATACCCTTCCTTCGTGGTGGTACAAAATTCCAAACTCGCATGGAAGTGCTTTGGACGATCTGAG